ACAATTTGCATTGTGAAGAGGAAAGATATTCAGTTGACAATTGCAAGTGCAGCGGATACACTTTTCCGACTTTCATTTCAGGTTAGACTACAAGCTTTACCGCCTGTCTGGCCAAATACGTCGAGCGAGTCAAAAAAATGTCAGTGAAATTTAAATTGATGTTAGTGCGCCGCAGGAATGGAGCTTCTGCGGTACATCGGCGTCACTTCAAGTTCTCCATGGCGCGATAAGAGAAATTCTTTTTTTCGCTGATTGTTTTTTTCTTTTTTTCTTTTTGACTCGCGCGACGGACCTCTCCGAAAAGGAGAGACTGTTCGTACTCTAATTTCAGACTGATATCGACCTTAGATAAACCTCTCAGACAAAAACAAAAAACAAACAAACTCGTGTAGAAGGGTTGCAGCACTATGGCTATGAAACTCCTAATCCAACGATTAAATAACTGAGGTGCTCTTACACAGAACAATGATAGTACCTTATAGCTATTGTTCTCGCTTTATTTTCATGAAAAATTTGTTCAGCCCATCCAAAGTAATGGTTTCTAATATTTAAGTCCTTTTAACTATTTTACACGGCCAAGCATGTCACATCTATCAACATGTTGTCGTCGAACAGAAGCCAATATGCCGAGGGAAAAAAGAAAGATAGAATTTCTTCTCTCTTAAAACAGCTGCCTTTGAATATTTCTTCCTATAATCTTTTTACCAAGTTATTCTTGTTGGGTTAATTCCAAGCAGATGTCTATCAATAGATTGAGGATGCCGAGACGTAAATTATTCAAACTCTTCGGCCTACTATTAATTCATAAGCAATTTGTATGTCTGCCATTAGGATTGCTTTTCACAATCTGCAGGAAAAGGCAAAAATTCAAGCGGGATACAGCGTTTACACCAAGAGTGCAGAACGTTAGGCTTTTAAAAAGCAACTTCAACCATGTAGATGAATGTCGAAAGCCTTTAAATGTAAAGAAAGAAGCCGGCAAAGAACTTGATACTTTCAAATTCCTGCAGTTTTTCCGACAGCATCTTTCAAGGTAACGTAAGATCATTAAAAACTGCAATACATGTCTTGTTCTGCTTCAATAATGAATTCCTTTTTCTTCTTTAAACACATATAAATTTTTTACGCAAATGTTGTAGCTTTGAATGACCTTAAAATATAGCAAGAATTATTCCTATTTTTTAGTGACGGAATACTTATACTATTGTGGAAAGGGTAAGACATCTCTAAAAAATACGGAGTACATTTTTTGTATAAGTACTAGGCTCTCGTTTTAGTATACGCTTTCAATTGAAGGTATCACTTCACTCTCTTTTATTGAAGGGCGAGGTTTTATGAGCATCTGAGAAGCACTCGGAGGCGATAACTGGTAGGCAACAATTGGGAGAGAAAGTTAATAAAGTGCTATCATTATAAAAGACGAAGTAAACTGCTAAGAGAGTTGCGTTGTGTCTAGCTACTTTCATTCATATCATAAAATGAGTGGCGATAACAAGGAACGTTTCTTTCAAACAGATCTTGATCGCGTCATTCTTTATTCTGTCCAAGGCTATATGTTTTTTAGTCGATTAAGCGAGGAAACGCAAAGTGAACGCGTGATTAAGGTTATCGTGCACCTTCAGGGGTGTCTCGCGTGCAAGCGACGTAGCGCGTCCGGTTTAAACTGTAGATATCTAAACCCCTATATCATATTAAAGCTTATTGGACTGGCTATCAGACTATACCAAAAATGTTTAAAAAAAAATTAATTGTCAAATTTTTCACGGCTTCTAAATACGAGCGCCCGAATCACCTTTTAAGAGCTACAAGTCAAAGGGATTTGTTCGATTGCTCTCAAATTTTGACAGTAGCTAGTTTATAAACAACAAAAACGTGTCTCCGAATTTTTTATATCTAAATACTTTTTTTCAAGAGCGATTTTTCTACGATCAGTCCACATTTTTTTAGTCCTATTTCAAAAATGTTCTGTAAATTTTCACTGAA